GACGGCAATTGCCGTCGGTGCCGTCGGGTAATTCGAGCCCTGCCAAAGAACATTCCTTTGAGAAGGTTCCTGATACCATCCCTGTGCATTCCACTGTTTCGGCGTGTATGTGAACACATTTGGGACTAACAGGGTTTACTAGAATCCCACCACTCCACCACAGAGTCACCGCAGTAGACGTTAGATGAGCGCTGTCGCTATGCGGCACTTGTTTTTATTGAGGTTGTGTACAAAAAAGTGTGGTTTATACACGAGTAAATACGGTATATATACTGTAATATCAGGAGTGTATAATATAGCTATATATATCTACATCTGTCTATATATGTTATATATCTATTTATATAATATAGATCTCTATATTATACACTCCTGGTAATATGACATGCACTGAACCAAAAGAGGACATTATCATTGCAAGATTGCAAGTAAATTTTGGACAAGTAAAATCAAAATTTCTTCTTGTTGCCCGACAGGACAACCAGGTCTGAAAATAAGAATCGAGGCCTGAGGAAATTATATATAGGCCTACTAAAGTAGAGGAAGGAAGTGGTGAAGGTGGATGAAGTTTTATCCACCTCCACTCCTACCCTAACTCATTTACCTGCTCCCACTTTATCACAATCCTATACCTTCTCCCCTTCTATAAATTCCCCTCTTGTGCCTCCTCCACCTTCCTATTTACTTTGTCACATCCTCTACATCTGCTACCTTCTGTCCTTTATCTTCTCTCCAAATCTCAATGCAACCCACTCTAACAATATGTCCAAATTGTCCATGCCATGTATTCATTTGTATGCAGTGTTTATTTGTGTAAGGGCATCTGAGGCTCCCAGCCAATCGGCGTCTTTTAGGAAATTATGCCATTAATTGCAATTGGTGTTGCTTGTGAAATTTTATACCGTCATTAAATTAAAATTTTTAATTTAGGCTAATTTATTTACACACTTTAAAAATGGTTTCTACATATCCGGCAATGTAGTATCAGTAGAAGACACCTAGTTGAACTTGATGGTCGCATGTTGGTCTATGTGTATGAACTGAGTACAGGAAGTTATTGATTTTAGTCACATGTGATGTATGAATTTCAACCATAACATTTAACCTAATTGTTTGATTACAAATCTAACGCACTCAGTCTCTTTACGCACACTTCAAGGTTATGCACAATATTAAAGACGCGTTGCTGCTGGCCTTTGCAGAACTGACAATGCTATTAAGAATCATTGGAATTCTACAATGAGACGGAAATACGAGGAGGAGGAGGCACAAAAAGAACAGGGTATGAAGTCACATCACATGCTCCAGCATGTGCAGAAGCAACAACAGCAGCAGCAGCAGCAGGTGGCTGTTTCTCAGACTCCCCTGAGTGTGCCACAACCCCCTCCCCCATTACATCCACCACCTGCCTATGTACAGCATCAACAGCTCTACCAGGTATTTAGTAGTGCATGCAAATTAAGGTTACTCTCCAGGTTTTAGGCAAAATTTTACCGATTTTTCATTTTCAACCTTATTCGATGGCTAACATTAGGGGCCACCTCTGTACATACTCATTTCTCTATATAACGATGCATGTGAACTTTCAGAGCGTTTTGATTGCCTGTGTACATGTGTAGTGAGCCGTGGCTGATGTCACAATACCAGGCACGTTTGTTGACACATAGCTTAGTAACGGTTAGCAGTACACATCGTACGCGCGTTTTGCATGAAAGTGCGATGGTAACATCGTAATTTCTCACAATTTCTCAAGGTGTAAAGAACATTTTACCAATTTAGTGGTGTCAGTTAGTCATGCATGGATATGTCACTGTAAGTACTAACAGTAGATGTTTCACATACGTACACCCATTTTGCACACAGGTGGTCAATCATTCAGACATTGTGAAAAATAGAAAAATGCTGATTTCTCTGTTTCGATTTCTGCCATAGTAGCTGATGTATAAATGGATATTTCTCTGTGATTATAACTCTGAATAATTTAATTTTACACTCGTTTTAATGGTAACATATTGCTGTAAAAAAGCGTTTCAGGGATTCATTTTTCTCAGTAAATATGAAACTAAAAGAAAAATCCTGAAGCGTTATTTTGGTACATATTGTGCACTAACTTGTGGCAAAAATATTGCTTCCTCACTCTGTGGTAATTGAGAAATGTCCAAAATACTATTTTTACATAAAATTTTAAAATTTGTGTGGTAACAATTAGCTGCTGGAAATTTCATGAATTTTTTTGACTGAGCATAGAGATACATCTCATTTATAAATAAAACGTGTGATTGATTTGATTCATTTGTCAATAAATACCCGGGCAAAAGGTGGAGAGTATCCTAAAAGCAGGTGGTGGACTCATTTCTGTACTTCATCAATCAAGATACTATAAATTCAATGTTTACTGTAGATAGCAAGGGCTTTATTACATAGAACACATACCTGGAGGGTTTTAGTTACTCTGAAGGTTTAGCATTTAATAATAACTTGGGGTCCATTGTCAGAAACAATATTGGTCTTAACATTAGTCTTGACTTTACCTTTGACTCGTAGACTATCTGTTGACAGAAACATCATAAAGCTAAGAGAACGAAAAATCCTCGCATATTTCCTCTTAACATTACGAGATCCTAGACCCTCTCGTAACTTTTCGACAAGATGAAAATAACACAATTACACAAAGAATTGCAATTATAATGCTTTATATTTTATGTTAATTAGTAAAACGTGTTTTTCATGGAAAACACGTCATAAACACTACTTATCTACCGATCGTGTACCAAAACAAACGTATACAAGTGGCCTTTGTTCTCTTGATTTTGATGAGTCATTACGCTTGCATCTTGTGTTGTTGTGCTGAATCATGTCTTGCAGTGCAATATAAATTCATGACTGTGTCGTTTTTCATCAGATATTATTTATATGTGGTTATAGCCATCATAATATCAGGGGTTAATAATGACAAATGCTTTGTCATTATTAACCCCTGATAATATGCATAATGATGTGTATGAATTTGAGTTTTGTGATCGATTCTCATCCAATCAGCAGCATTTTGACATCAAATTATGAACTTTCTGTTATCATAAGTTTTCGCATAGCTGCGATGCGTCCCTGTCAACGCTATTAGTCGTAAGTGCTATCTTGGCATTAGCTTTAAACTTAATTAACTTTAAGCTGTTTCTGACAATGGGCCCCTGGCCGGTTATTTAGTCTCAAAGCCGTGCTGCTGAAAGCCAGCTGACGAAGAGCATTCTATAATATTGTATGTCGTGAGTGAGGAGAGAGTGTGAGGATAACACTGACTTGCAAACCTGTTTTGAATCGTGCTGTAACAGACAATGCAAGGCAATAGGTGGGCTGGCAGCGTGGGCAGCAGCTAGTTTTGCATGTCCAGTGTACAGGAAGTTTTGGTGAGAGCTGTGACACTAACAAAGCACTGCTTATTGTGTAACCAGGCAGCTCCAAATCCTCATCAGAACCTGATGGTGAACCAGCAACACAGTGAGAATGTCATCGCTGCTACGGCGAATCAGTTCCATAGCCAAGCACATTTACAAAGTGAGTAGATAGTTGTTTTTTTCAACATATAGATGTAATGTTTTGATTTGACTTGTAGTCCTTCATTATGTTGGCATTGGGCAAGTGTGTTGCAATTAGAAATATGTGTTCATATTTCATTTGTACTTAAACCTTGTCTTTCGATCGTTCTTATTGCAGGTGCATGGCCACAGAACGCCTCCTATACTCAACAAAGTCAAGTACCAGAGTTTGAATCACCGATACGATGGAAAGTAAACGGGAATGGGTTTCTCTCTCCCCTCAGGTAGGGAAATCTGCTAAAACATTTGAGATAATTTCATTCTATGCTATATATATGTACTATGCTATGTATTTATTTATACTGAAGTTCAGTTGAACAAGTAGCCTATATTGCAGTATTGTGAAATGTTTTAATTAGTCCCTTTTTTTACATGTTTGTAGATATGATTATATTTATTGTCTGCAAATATTTTAAGGTGTCTTCCCTCGAATTTTCAAGCGGAAAACATAAAATCAGGCAAAAATGAATTATTTTAACATTGCACGTTTGTATATGTGTGATAGGTAAAAAATATTTGCTCAGGAATATGTTCATTCAAAGCCTTTAGACTACAAAGTGAACGTGTCGGGTCGAATGTTTCAAACAGTGTTGCGGCAATGTTGTGATGCGTCTCTTGTTACCATGCGGTGTGGCCAAGCGCTGAAGATCATGAAGGCTGCATAGGCTCATAGATATCATATAGCACATGTGTTATAACTTATAATTTATATTATATCTATAGCTGTGCTGGTTACGTGACCTGTGTCGACTCTTGCCGCCATGATACAGAACCGCGGCGAAACGCGTTTTATCGAGTTGTTTTTTCGTTGTGGGAATATAGGCTTGATACATATTTTTACAGTTTTATTTTCAAAGCTAATGTTCAGTTAAAGTGTAGTAATGACAAACCTTAATTGTCTTTCTTTCTTATAATTCAATTAATTGTGTTTAATTAAGATCTACTTACTTTCTATTCATGTTATATATTGTTTGCTTGTTCACTGACTATGATATACATACCAGGCATGGGGTTCTTTAAATTCGGCATATAATCTTATGACGTTATGATATATGCTTCCACAGAAACCTTATGGGAGAGAGCAACATGCTGAATAGCAGCAGTGATGGATTTGCTGATATCAGTGCTTTTGATCTATTAAATGGTGCAGAAGTTGACCCAAGCATAACACCCATCAAGTACACCGCACTAAAGGACAAGAAAGGTACCGATCTGTAACTGTACACGTTTAAATTTTTTTTAAAGTTTTACATTATGAGTGTGATCACTGGTAAATCCATAATTTTATGGGTTCTGCTTGTAAGTGTGTGGTGAAAAGTTTCCGGTTGCTGCAGAATTTTTTTCACAAATGCTAATGTTAGGCAATTAATATTTGATTATAATAATCATGTGCAATTGTCTTAATTTTTATTCTAACTACGTATTGCCATTACATTCTTGCTATGAGTTGCAAACATCTGGGTGGGGGAGGGGAGATTTTTTGCCTTGTATACAAACCTAAAAATATATAATAACTAGACATGCAGTTGTATTATAGACAATTTCACATTGTTTTATAGTTGAATACAGATTTGATGGCAACTCCATGCACCACCTGAAAAACTCTACTCAAATGCAAGGCCTAATCCCGATTACACCTCAGATAGCTTCACATCTACCGGTACCAGCAATCTTATCAAAGAAGGAACGACTGGTAATTATTTTCTTGGAATTCTAAGCACATTGCAGTAGAAAACTGGCATTTTGTTAAATGCAAGCGTTGCAGTTAGATGTAAGTCTTTCAAAACTTCTTTTTGATTTTTCAAAGCTTTCCCACTAGCTGTGTAGCTATAGGTAGTGTCTAGGTAAGATGCTTCAACCACTTTATTTTAAATTATAATTATATTAAATAATTTGCCATTGGGTGTGGTTCAAATTGGTAGGATGACTGACACTAAAAACTAGGAAATATTGACAGAATTACACAGAGCCACTGTTGTAGCTGGTTAACAAGCTTGTCACCAAGTCAGGGAAGACATGGACGGTACATATCTGTATCATTTAACAATGAATATTAACAAGCTGTAGCAATCAGCTCTGAGCCTTCCTTTTTACTCCTAAGCAGAACTCTGTTGGGGATGCAAGCCGTACGGACGTCAGCATGCGTTCGGAGTTGACGCACGATGACGACGACAATGATAACGAAGACGAGATGAGCATAAACAGTAGCGTTGAAGCATCTAGCAGTTATATGGACGTGACAGTAAAGACAGAAGGTCGTAGCCCACAAAAGCTTACGCCCATCAAGACTCTGCCTTTCTCACCATCACGGGTAAAAATTGTAGCTATTGCTCTCAGTAAGGGTGTGTTGCTGTTAAATAAAAGTTCACTGCATGTAGCTGCATTATTTGAAATAGGGTACATACTAGCTAAGAGTAGTCATGGTAGTTAACCTACCAAATTTGTTTTTGGCATTAAACATAAATACTATCAAGATAATACGCATTCCTGAAATCTTACCTGATACCAAGTTAACCACCCCTTCTCGATCTCTATCCCCCTTTCTTTCTCTCTCTTGCTGTATCTCTTTCTCTTTTCCTCCTTTTCTCTTGTGTTTAAACTGCAGTTGATACGTGGTTGTGAATTTCTGTTACTGAAATAATCTCGTTTTCGTTCCTACGCAGTTTCTGAACAGTCCGATCTCGTTCAGTCACATGCACAGCTACACGTCTACCCCAGTATGCAGCACATCGTCCGCTACCTTGACGCCCGACACTCAATTCAGCTCCCTGCTGAGGAGTGCTGATCCTATGTAAGTGCTTCACTCGGGCTTAATGCTGGAAACTTGACAGATGCTTATGTTGCTTGTTAACACTTTGCAGCACTTATCAGCCTTGCAGTTTTTATTATTTCTTTAGTAATGTAATTAGGGACAAATTTACTCCTACGCCAGTAAATGCCTACAAGTTTTTTTTCAAAATTGTTTTAAATGTTTTCTATTGCTTGGTTTATTTCATTAAGCAGGGCTCTCCACTGGCCTTTGAGTCATGTTCGGTCTGACATGCTCTCAAGAGTGAAGCAAATTTGAGATATCCCATAAATCCTTCAGCATTCTTTAATCACCTGCTGTGTTTACTTTTGACAATCAAAGCACAGTCGGGCTGAGTTTGCGCACCTTGATGTGTACGATCTGATTGAGCTTACTACATGTATGTTGGCTGCTTATGACTGTGTAATTCACTCTGATTGGTACAACCCCGTATTGGGCTTTCCCTCATATGTCCATAAACAACATGCCTTCTAAAATTCCTGGGGAGAATCCTGTGAAGCATGCATATTTGTGGCAAACTTATTGTAATTATATTTCACAGTTTACAGGGCTTGCCCTTAACTTTTTTTTCAGGTGGCCGGCCGGGCCACTTGAGTATGAGATTCAGGTGGCCAAATGGATTTTCAGGTTGGTGGCCGCGCCTGGCACCAATAAAAAATCAATCGGCCGCTGGACTACGCGACGGTTCCGGACGAAGAGCCGCTAAGGCTACGCCGTCCGGACATCCCATCTCCACACAGAGATCGTTGCGACAACGTACAGTCTTTCATTTTAAGGGGCGCATCGCGCCTCGGCGCTCGCACCGCGACACACTCCGTAAATGTGCCATGGTGCGCGCATCATCGCGCCTGATCATAAAAGTGGTTGAAATACGCGCACCAAAAGTCTGTGTATTTATGTGAAATAGCGCTGGCATAGAGTTCTCAG